GTTTATGGTTGAGTGTGGGCGTGTGGAGGGTAGAACCTGAGGCGGGACCTTGTGCATGAACTCTGAGGTGCGGCTGTGATTTATAAAGGAAAGATGCGCAGAAACGTGTGTACGCACGGTTTTATAAATCTGAATTTTTTTTGGCGTACGCCATTTCCGCCTTTTGGCCGTACGTTCACTTTTAGTATAGTTTCCACTCAATCCTTTATAAATGAGACCCCAGCTTCCTTCTTTAAACCTCCTTGCTGTCTCTGATCTTGACTTTGAGCTGCTTCTGTATACTCCTCAATAACTCCCTGTCTCGATCCCTAAAGGCTCTTTTTTTCTTGTTTAACAGTTCCTTTAGCTCACTGGGGATCTAGGGTTTGTTTATAGGGAAGCATCTCACTGTTCTCACTGTATACTTGCTGTTTCTTTGGAAAGCATATAAAATGAACTTTTCCCCCTGACAAAAAGACATGCCTGCATGGATTTATTTATTCCTGTAATCAACTTGCCTGATATTCTTCATCTCCCAGCCCAGAGGCTTTGAGGAACCAGTGACCGGCACATTGGTCAGACATGACGCTGTTAGAAAGCTGTCTCCCACTGCTGTCATAGTTGTAGTACTTCCCTAAACGCCATGGGAAAGAAAACCAGGAGGAAGTTACTTTAGATTAGAATGACATGTGGACGATAAACACACAGTAACATTAGAGCTCACCGTTCCACAACAATCTGTCGAACGCAGCTCTGCCTCTGTCCAAAAAGTCTTTGTAATGCTGGTATTCTTCACTTTCATCCAGAAGTCTGGCCATTTTACACATCACACACAGGGAGGCCAGCCACAGCCCACCACAGTATGCACTGTAAAAAAAATAACAAATACATAAAACGTCTTTAGAGATTAAATTTTCTAATCAAGATTTTCTAAAACAGAGTTTGATTCGATTTAAATGCTTTTGAAACGTGTTTCTGGTGCCCCACCTCGGTCCAGTTACTGTCCAGCCGTCGTACGTCTGATCGGCATATCCTGAGTTTTCTATCAGCCCGTCTCCATCCTGATCGAACTTTATCTCTGACTCCATCACAGCCTGCCAGACCAATGGTTCACAGAGTAAAACAGCTAAAACATATGGAGTATAAAAATACATTTACGCGTATTAGCGTATCATGTAAAGCAGCTGGAATCTTCCCACAAACCGGTTCTGCTTGATCCATTCAGCTGATTAAAATTATTTTTGACTAAAACTTACAAATGTTTTACTCAACCACCTACAGCACGTGTCAAACACAAGCGACTCCTGTGTGGTAC